TAAAAACATGGCCAATGGGAATGGTTACACTGTGTTTGATGCCCAACATCCTTACAGGTACACAAGAAAGCCGCTTCTTTTCTTTTTGTTTTCTTGGACTTACGTGAGTTTTTTTGTTTGATCTAACCTTTCTTTGTTTTTTTGGGCTTTAAAGGGCAAATGTCGCCGCGAAAAGGGAGCTTCATACTCCTGAGTCTGATCGTTCTTGTATCCATCTGGAATTTGACATTGCTGGAAGTGGACTTACGTGAGTTTTACTGCTATATGAATGTCTACAGAATCAGAGGGAAATATTATTGAAGAATAACATGAATGTATTTTTTGTATCTTGTCTGTCAGGTATGAAACTGGAGATCATGTTGGTGTACTTTGTGATAATTTAAGTGAAACTGTAGATGAAGCGCTTAGATTGCTGGATATTTCACCTGATACTTATTTCTCACTTCACGCTGAAAAAGAAGACGGCACACCAATCAGCAGCTCGCTTCCTCCTCCATTCCCACCTTGCAACTTGAGAACAGCGCTTACACGATATGCATGTCTTTTGAGTTCTCCGAAGAAGGTTGGTTGGATTCATTTACCATTAGACTGGTTATGATCAGTTTTGTTTGTCTTCATAGAGATAATTATTTTCATGTTTGTTTTCTTGCAGTCTGCTTTAGTTGCTTTGGCTGCTCATGCATCTGATCCTACCGAAGCAGAACGATTAAAACACCTTGCTTCACCTGCTGGAAAGGTTGGGGCTCGACTTTTTGTTGGTTTCTATTCTTCATTTTCCATTTCTTTAAAATGCAATCTGACGATGTATATATATTGTGTCCTTTCAACAACAGGATGAATATTCAAAGTGGGTAGTAGAGAGTCAAAGAAGTCTACTTGAGGTGATGGCCGAGTTTCCTTCAGCCAAGCCACCACTTGGTGTCTTCTTCGCTGGAGTTGCTCCAAGGTTGCAGCCTAGGTTCTATTCGATATCATCATCTCCCAAGTGAGTACCTTCATTGTCTTGGTCTTTTTGTCTTCAAGTTGTTCGATTGACACTTATCTTGTGTTTTTAGTGTATTGAACATTGTCCTGTTTACTTGTATAGGATTGCTGAAACTAGAATTCACGTCACATGTGCACTGGTTTATGAGAAGATGCCAACTGGCAGGATTCATAAGGGAGTGTGTTCGACTTGGATGAAGGTAAACAAACCTTAAATCTGACAGCTTCTTGCAAACATATTTCTTTGTAATCTTTTTTATTGTTTTGTGTCATTTCTTATCCATTGTCTTGGTCTTTTTTGCTGAGTGCTTATTTTTTGCATTGTAATCACAGAATGCTGTGCCATATGAAAAAAGTGAAAACTGTTCCTCGGCGCCGATTTTTGTTAGGCAATCCAACTTCAAGCTTCCTTCTGATTCTAAGGTACCGATCATCATGATCGGTCCAGGGACTGGATTGGCTCCATTCAGAGGATTCCTTCAGGAAAGACTCGCGTTAGTAGAATCTGGTGTTGAACTTGGACCATCAGTTTTGTTCTTTGGATGCAGAAACCGTAGAATGGTAATAAAGCCATATCTCTAAACTCAATCCTATCTAACATCGTCGGTTTTGTCCAGTTTCTGATCAAGTCTTCTCATATATGTAGGATTTCATCTACGAGGAAGAGCTTCAGCGGTTTGTTGAGAGTGGTGCTCTCGCAGAGCTAAGTGTCGCCTTCTCTCGTGAAGGACCCACCAAAGAATATGTACAGCACAAGATGATGGACAAGGTATGAGCTTATAAAAACCCAAAACTCAGATCATCTTATAGATTCAAACTCAGATTCTTGAGCTGACAATTTTTTTGCAGGCTTCTGATATCTGGAACATGATCTCTCAAGGAGCTTATGTATATGTTTGTGGTGACGCCAAAGGCATGGCAAGAGATGTTCACAGATCTCTCCACACAATAGCTCAAGAACAGGTATGTCTTGGTGAGATCAATCTAACATTATCATTGTCCAAATCACAAACCGGACTCTAAAATGAGTTTATTTCTGTCTCTGTCTTGTTTTCAGGGGTCTATGGATTCGACCAAAGCAGAGGGCTTTGTGAAGAATCTGCAAACGACTGGAAGATATCTGAGAGATGTATGGTAACGAAATATTGAAGCCACCACACTCACTGTGTACTTATATTTATATATATATATACGGCACAGAAATTGCCACATTATGATGATCATTAAGTTTGTGATCGCCAAGAAGAAAGGAACCTCCCCTTTTTTTTTCCATTTTTTTTTTCTTTTCATACATTTTGACAACTTTATTTTTTAACTCTTGTTATATAGCCCCCACCAAAAAAGTAAGGAAAAATGCATAAGATGTTATGGGGTATTTGTGAACAACTATGTTATATACAAAGTCAGTACCTTTAGTATGAATTATTTATGTAGCACTTTGAAGTTTGAACTAAAGTCCCCATTTTTGGACGAATAGCATTTCTTTGTTTTCTAAATAGTTTTATGCCTCAATAATCATTTTCGCTACTGTGAATGTCTCCATAACTCTTTCAGACCAAAATTTTTGGACCATATAACAAGAACGAAAAAAAAGACCCAACAATTGTGACCAAAAAGAAAAATAAAAAACTTATGAAATTTCTTTGCCACATTTACATAACTAGTTAAATTTGCAAGATAATAATGAATTAGAATTATTTAGGTGAATTTACCATGTTGTTTACTATATCACTAAGTAGGCCATTTTCGGTTCAAAATGGACGAAAGGATTAGCTCGACAGTTTCTTAAAATGTTGTGTTATATCCTTATTTTCCCATTTCATTATAACATAATTTTTGTGTTATCAGTGTTTGTGTCGTACGAAACAAAAATAACATGCTATTTGAAATAATCAATATCTTACTCAAAAACGGCTAAGATACACGGTTACGTAATTTGCTACTTTTACGTTATCCATAAAATATATATATGTGCTATACTCATGCATACAACAAGTTAAACACGTTTAAGATTTTGTTTAAGAGATTAAAGTTATACTTTGTCAAAACAAGTCAGTACAAATAAACTCGCAACTTAAGTTATCTAGTCTAGTTATTAAATTTGCCAACATTTTAGATCATTATTAACCAAAAAGTCGCGGTGCTTTGGATGCAAGAGTCAAATGATTAATAATGATAGAGAGAAATAAAAAAGCCATATGCGCAAACGTTCTAGTTCATTCGGATATGTTTTGGTGGTTGAGACTTGAGAATTTAAGAAAATTGAAAATGAGGAATGGACCGATGGGTTTGGTGGGTAGGCACTTAGGTGAGAGCATATAAGTTAAGGGTTTAATTAGCACACGTGACTTACATTGACGCGTGCCAAAATAAGTAGGTGGACAGAAAACTTTACAACAACTATCTCAACATGTTTCTTTCCCCTTTCAACTACTTTTGTGTTGTGTGTTTCTTCTCTCGACCTCATAAATTCGTCTTATAATCATTTTGAATATAAATTAGTATTCGTTAAGTGAAATAAATATGATATTACGATTACATAGACGACGATATGCCACGTATAGACGATACTCGATAGGAATCGATCGTCGGCTTTAATTGCCATGGTACTGCATGTATTATTATTTTTTTTTGTTGATTTTATTCACCAAATTTAGTGATAGTTTAATCTTGTATATTTGGTACTACTAAGTACTAATTCTAACTTCCAACGACAGACTTTTAAGCATTAATTTTCTTTTGATCGTTTCTTAAATTGATTGTTCTTTAACTTCCAAATAATACAGACTTTTTTTATTTGCCAACATACAAAAAATAACTTTAAGGTATTTACAATGTATTGCAAGTTGCAACTAAATCACTAATTCGTAGTATATATAATGACTTTCCCCAAAAAAAAATAAGTATGGAGGGAATAATGTCAATCAAGTTCTGCAAGTGGAAGTGCATAAGATACATATGCAAGTTTATCTTCATTATTAAGAAAAGTCTAAATAATAAATTCATAAAGTTGATGTAACTCTAAGAAGAACGAGAAATTTCCAGATGTATTTTTTAAAAAGGGTATGTATTCCTATGTGAAAAAGTATAAGAATACTCAAATTTATTGCCCGTTGACAAAAGGAAATAGAACATAGAGGAAATTATTACACGATAAAGATGATGTCATATGTAAATAAAAATCAAGCGGACATGGTAGGTGATGCATGTGTAAATGATGTCACATGATTGAATAATTGATTTCTCAGTATTTCACATGTTTTGTCAACGTCACAGAGGAGCAAAATAAATCAAGGAATTTTGACTTGGGATCACTATATTAGCTTTGACCCGTATTTTTTCAACAAACCATAAGGCCAATGAATTTTTTTTTTTTTTAATGGTTTGAATTCAAACTATTTTTCTTATCTTGGCCTTTTCAAATTAATTAAACTGGAAATTTACTGCAGAACTACTATTCTTCTCATAAAATCAAAATGATCATCTATCTATATCAAATATATTGCAAATCTTCCGAACTTTTTTTTTTTTTTTTAGTTTTTCAGTTGAGTACATTCAAAATTGTCATCTCCAGACTCCATCCATTACCGCAAAGGTTCTCCGAATATTGCTACCACTTGATGGGCTGAATGTAAATTGAGGCACAATATAGTGGTTAAAACGACATGCATTCAACCCAATGACAAAAAAAACGACAAGAAGAATGGTTTTCTCATAAAAAAAAAAGGCTTGTTACTTTTTTAGGTATCATCAACAAACTCTTTAAGATTCACTGAAATCTCACAATTGCGTTAAATTAGTTCAATGGATCCGAAAGTTTCGAAGAAATTACAAACCGTGATAGTTAGTAATGAATCCATAAAACCATAACTAACAGAGAGAAGATGCTGATTGTGTGTCTAGCTAATGGCTAAGCCCAATTCTTAAGTTTTTATTATCAACTAAAGAAACTTCACGGTGAATCATTTTGTTGGAAACATAAAGTGATTTATAAGAAGAAAAATAAGTCAATGAAGTAAACTTATAAAACCCGGCAGGAAGTTGGTTTTATCATAAAACTAAACGGCTTGTTACATTCGAGGTATCAACAAAGTCAAAAGATTCAAGAACATCATACTGAAATCTCACAAACTGGGTTGAATTGCTCATTAGAATACAAGACTAAAAAATACAGACGGGCGGCAATTTCTAAGTCCTCTAGTCTTGATCAGCATCTTCAAGTTCTTCATCTTCTGGCACACCTCGGACATACAAGACATTGTTGCATCTGTGGACAAAAATTCGGTAAATTAATTCAATGGAGCCGTAAAAGAAATAAAGCAATTACAAAACCGGTTGTTGTTTAGTGATTTTCATAACTAACAGAGATAAAGATGCGTGGGTCTAGTAAGAATGCCTAAGTCCAATTCTTCACTGTGAAACATTTTTGCTGGAAAGAATAAGTAAGATAATGAGGTGATATTACCTGATCAAGATCTCTCCAAGGTTCCCTGTCAATTGTCCATCGATGTATTCCTCGGTGTTTCCCAGCTGCAAAACAATAGGGAAAATGTCAATGGCTACAATGCATAACAATCTATGTATCTGAATAGAAGATTATAATCACTAAAAATAGATTACAGCATTGCCTCTAAACTTTTAAAGCATAAGGAACATTTAGCAGGTGATTTTGGACAACATAACATCAATCTCTAAAGTTCAATCAAAAAGCTATTATCTAATTCTCAAATTGAACATAGAAGCTAAAAACGCACCTGCAAGTTCATGTAGGAGTCAACAGAGGCAAGGAAACCTGTGAAATTGAAGGAAGACTGTTAGCTAAAAGCTCTGGTTATCATCAAAAGCACATCATCATAAGAAGAAGAAAAGATACCTTTGTATTCCATTCCCCATTTAAGCTTGACGATAACAGTCTTGCCGGTCAAGTTGTTCAAGAATGGTTTCGGGTTAACCGGAATGGTCTGCAAAACACATACAAAAATTACTCGAATGAACTCAAAACATTATGGAATTTTCTTGGAAGAGAAACACATTCTTCTTTATTCCACATCAACAAGAATGAGGATAATTCAAAGGAATTTTACACTCAATTACAATTGCTACCTACATGAAAAAGCTAAACAATATATTTCGCAATCGTATCAGCTAAAATCAAACCCAACAATTCCTGATTCACAGATACTCCGATACTTACTTCTAATCAGATAAATCGACAAGAAAGAGGACGAAAATGGAGCTGGGGCTGGAAAAAGCTATGAACACCGAATTCTGCAGATTATGCTAGCCCTAATACTCTACTTTTATAACAACAAGTAGAGAGAAGTCTAAATCTGAGCTCAGCGAAGAAAGATATAATGAGTCGAAGCTCGAAATTAGCAACGGGAGATGAAAGAGATCGGAACTTACCGCCATGAGATAGCCAAAGAAGAGACGACGATACGACGATTGGGAGAGAAAGAGAGCGTCAAAATCTTCTTCGATCTAGCTTTTAGGGTTTTTGATTGGGACTGTAAAATTTCTGGAAAGGCCCACTATAAGATTATTACGGCCCATTAGTAGTCCAACTTGTAAATCTTAGACACAAAGCTATTTTAAAACATGCAAGTTGGACTATTAATAGGCCGTAATACAGCTATGACTATGAGTCTAGTTTTTTTTTTTGTTAGCCCGTAAACTTTCAAGATATAAAACCCGATTAAGTATTTAACTTGTTAAATCTCTATAAATTAATAATGTTGGAATCCTCAAATTCAATTAAATCGATAAATTAATTTATATAAAAGTTGGCTAATTTGTAAATTTTTTTAAAAAGTCCTAAAATATTTAATGTTAGAAAAATATTTTACCAATAAACAATACAAATTTAAGAAAAATAAATAATATTCTAGTCATATTTCACTAAAATTTGTATATATATTGATGAGACTATATATTTATATATGATTTTCAAAAAAATAGTTTTATTGACTTACTTGCTTTATTGTGCATAACTCAAATCACATTTAAAAACTACGATTTTTTAAATGAAAATACCTCAAGCATCAAGTGCCTTTCTAGTACAATTATTTGTCAAACCTTAGATCTTTTTTGATCAAAGTGGATTAAATATCGCGATCTCATGGCTTTGATCTCTGGATTAAGAACAACATTCTGAAACTTTTTCTCGACATCAACAACACCTCCAAAACGAAGACCCATAAATTTCAACTTCATGAGTTGCTAGGCTTTTTGATGACCATGAATTATGCAAAAATAAAAAATGGGTGCGTTAGAAAATCAAAACAAAGAACATAAAATAGCATGTGAAAATCATATTCACAGAGAAATATTACAAACCTTACTCTTGTTTAGCATATCTCTGAGTTTTGGTAGAAATTTTTTGCAACAACAAACCTCGCCCTCCACCATTCCACTCAAGTTCACTTGGATCAATTCGCTCAGTTTCAAGACACGCAACTGCAAAGTTCCAATCTAGTTTGGGAACTCAGCGTATTGGAGAAAAAATGATTCAACTGCACATACCCTTTCCTTCTGTTATGGAAGTCAAGCCATTGTGATGGATCTGGAAGAAACTCCAAACCGTTTGAAATCGTTTTTGAAGAATATGAAGGTTATGTTTCTTTTAATATGATTTCTGTTTTGTGTTGTCTGTTTTATTGATTTTGTTTTTGTTCCTCTTATTTTTTGTCCAACATTTACCGGTATAGTTTTTATTTTATTTTTTTTTATTTATATATCTTACATTTCTTTTATGCGATTAGACGTTCATAGAAAAAAAAAAAAAAGTCCATTGGTTGCATTGATCTTTACACTATGATTAAATTTTGTCAGCTTGCCTTAAAAACAATTAGCCGGCTTTTTACTCTTTGACCATCCAATTAATAGTTTAAATTATATATATTCCATTAGAATTCTATAAATATTAAATCCAAATTAAAACGATTAGCATGAGTTATTCACACACATATATATAGGAGAATTGGGTGAACCACCCATCAGTTGAGGATTGAGGTCACCATCAACTAGTGCAAGTATTTGTCATTTTTGAGGTCAATTCATTTCATAAATTAAAAAGCATTATCTTTTTATTATGATAAAGAAAAACGCTTATAAAATCAGCATGCTTATGCTAATAGAAAAAGTTATCCACATCATGATTTTTTTGTTTGAACAAAAAAACTTTAAAGTGAACTCCTATGTAATCTTACTTTTTGCTTTTAAAGGTAAAATAGTAACATCGCACCATATGAAATTGCTATGAAAAAGAAAAACAAATCAAACTTTGTGGTCAAGCAATGTGGATATGATCAGTAACCTAATTATGACTTGTGCCTTGCAGCGTAAGTTGAAAACGAAAAACAAAGTGGAGTTTGTGGCTCTAAATTGCGTTCCTTTAGTTTTGTTCTTATAATAACAATTGAGTTTTTTTAATCACTACAATTCCACAAACTAAAAATCATCGTGGTATTGTTTGTAATAACCGAAACGAAATGTTAGCAGGCGAAAGTCATTTTCTCGGCTGACCTCAGTTACACGCAACAATTCTACCTCAGCACTTGGTTTTTTTATTTTGTCACAATGTCTTAAGTCTTCTTCTTGATTAGTCTCGACTATCTATCTTTTCACAAATAATATGCTTCGCACAGTTTGTTTGTGTGTAAACTTGCTCCTTTTTTTTTTTTTTTTTTCAATTTTAATATACACTCCTATTTGAAAATATACCTAAAGAAATTTGTCTAAACATTTTTAATTATTTATATATTGAAATAGAAGTGGTGATATTATATACATATATATATATGTCTAAATAATTAATTATTTCTAATACATAAATAACACATGCCTTTTAAGTTAAACTAATGGAATGAAATGTGTGATATAATAAAAAATTTGAAGGTGTACATTTGAATAATGGAAACTATAGTTTATACAATACCATCAGTTAGCTTTTTCAAATCTTTATCTATGCAAATTTGCGTGATCGTGGTACTACATAGTCATTTCAACCATAGTTTTACATCATGAAGAAATTTAAAAACTCAATTTTTCAAACATTATTAATTTGTGTTTGACTAATTCTATCTCTATCATTCTTGACTAGGCTTTTGAATAACCAAATTTTGTGAGATGAAAAATCGGAAAGATTCATGAATAAATGATCAATGATATATATGAAGACTAGAGTACTAATCTTTTGATTTAGTAATTAATATAGACACTTTGTGTGGTTAAATATTTAAGTAAGATTGTGTTATCTTTCTTGACAACATAATAATATGTCATATATACACCCCCATGAAATAATTAGATCATGAGAAATTTGGCAAACACAAAACTTTGGCTGGTCAAAAATCTACAAATATATGCATGTATAGAAAGACATACACCTAGAGAATTCTAACCCGTAAAACAAAGTAGTTTCCACTTTAAGTTCTCGTAAAAGTATTTGACCCCTCTAGAGGCCCTGTATATATATATATATATATATATATATATATACGGGGACAAAAACTTAATACTTTCAACATCTTCATTGTCTTTCTACTCTCTCCCTAAAAAACATGGAAACTTTAAAAAACACCAATCTCCAAAACCCTACTACTAAACTCCCAAAACCATTTCAACATCACCTAGAAGAAGAAAAAGAAGAAGCACTATCTCTCCGAGATCTTCCCCTCAATGCCGAGAACCCTAATCCCGCCGCCACCCCAACCACCACCGAAGACCACCGTGAACCGTCAACGGAACTTTTTGAGTTTCTTACGTCAACCTCCTACGACGTTTCTCCGGCAGAAAACATAATCTTTGGCGGCAAACTCATCCCTTTAAACTACCAAAATGCCCTCTTTTCACCTCCCGAACACATAAGCCCTCGAATTCGTGCACGGTCTGAGTCCTTATCCGCCATACAAGGCCATAAGCTTAACCATCCAGGTAGTTGTTCTGTGGCACGTCGTGACAATGCGGGACCTATGAGGACAAGCCGTTCTTTAGATTACCGTAAGCTCTCACGTGGTCCAACCACCGTACATTCTCCACTGGAAAACATTTCACCGGCTAAAAACACGACGAAGGCTGAAACGGCGTCGTCGGGAAGTGGAAAATGTGTAAGGCCAAGATGGTATGTGTTCATGTTTGGAATGGTTAAGTTCCCTCCGGAGATCGAACTCAAGGATATCAAGAGCCGCCAGGTTCGCCGGAATATTCCACCGGTTATGTTTCCATCTCCTTCTAACCGGAGATCTCGGAGATCTCGATCACCGTCACCGTCACCTTCACCTTCTTGGAGGTTTCTCAACGCTTTAAGTTGCAAGAAGCCCACAAGCGTGGCTGCTACGGCGCCGTTTTGGATTTCCCATCCATAAATTACTATATTATCCCTATGAACATTGTGTGCGGTACTTGCTTTGCTGTTGTTTAAAAAGGATAGGAACGTCATTTAGTATAAGAAATATCGATATTGTTTAATTTATTTTGTGAAAGAATGTCGATATTGTAATTTATTTGGTGAATCGATAATAGTTTGGACCATAATATATCTTATTCACACTTTTTTTCTTTTTCTTTGATTTTTTCGTTATTCTGTATTTTGTATTTCAGCTCATTTGTTAGAATATTTCAATATATATTTTAATATAATCGTTTTGAAATTTAATTGGTTAGGTGAGGAATGAATGATGATCAAAAGAGGCACGAGAAGGATATGAAAAAAATTTATTACCTTACTTTTCCCAATGGGACTAGTCGATTTTTTATGATTTAGACAGGAAGTTGTATCATTTTTTAGCATTTATTTGTGCTTCGAAATTCATGGTTGATAAACGTTATGATCAAGTTCCATCTTAAGAGACTGTGCCTTTCTTTTTGTCCAGAGACTTCTAGATTCAATAATTATTAGACATTTTTCTTTCTTTACAAATCTTTTTCACCATTATCATGTGTCTAAATGATACGAACAACTATAATGAGACTTAATATTAAGATCTTTTACTTAGTTTAGAATTGACCTATATACTTTTGGGCTGTGACACTAAGATTTGAAGTAGTGATGAAAGAAATTGACACGTCGACTATAATGAGCATTTTAAAAGAAGGTAAGACGATGATTCGAACAAAAGACTTGCCAAGTAAGTGAAAGGGGACAAAGAATGTTTTGTTCCAAAATAAAATATCTGAGAGACAAACAAACACTGGAGATATCATTGAACACAAACACGCATTGGTTTCCTTTAGGTACACGTCTAACGTTTTACGAAACGTAGCTTCAAGTTTTACATATTGATCTTACAAATATACAAGTTCCTATATGTTCCCTAAGGATAAGAGAGAGTAATAAAGCAGAGTTTGTCCTTCTTTTGAATCTTGACAAAGCTTTTAATCTCTCTTCCTTCTCGAAGGATGTTGAATCATGTGTAGCATCTAAAGTGTGCCCATTACACAAGAATCTGTATAACAAAACCTGGAAGATCCACGAGAAGGGTGTAACGTTTAAAGATTGTTTTAGAAAACTTGGAGTTATGATTTAGATTCTATAATATCATTTACCTGTCAATGTTTCTTGAGAGTTTCTGAAACCGCGGTTTAAGTTCTCAAGATGAATACTGCAAGGGAATAAACAAGGAAACTGATTCAGTTATAGAGAGTAGAGACTGTTATGGAACAGTGGTGTGCCAATAACTCATGAGAACCGAAAGACAAGGGACTCACATAGAAGAAAGAAGATTAGCGTTAAGGAAAGAATGAGCTTAATCGGGCGGGTTAATGGAACGCGAAATCGTCTTTGATAAACCTTGACTCTGTCAAAAAGCTGCACAACGATAAACAACTAAGATATCCTATTTGATAGTGTAGAAATGATCTAAACTGCAGAAGCTTACCTGGTTATAATCACGACATCTCTGCAGCCAAAACAGAGGTTTAGATCCTTTTTCTTTAGGAGTGTCTTCGATTTGTGACAGGAATTTCTCTCTCTCTTCTTCTTTTGCATTAAAAGGAACATTAATCCTCAACGCACTGATATTCGGTACATTTGGTGAACTCCATGTTCTTCTTGTACCGGCTTTTTTATCATCTTGAACGCGGATCATAGCATCACCACTTTCAGGACTTCCTCTCTCGTCAATGTCTATCACACACTCAGGACTATCACCATAACATCTAGTCTCTCGTCTGCCATTCATCCCACGTGGAATCTCTGCTACAGAACTCGTTGAGGAATCTCTCAAGTTAATACTATCACTGTTTAAACTCTCTGATGTCTGAGAAGATCCAGATAGAAACATGGCAAGGTCATCACGCTCTTCTTTGTTAAGATCCACCCAACGCAAAGGTTGTTTCCCATTCTCGCTTAACGCCTCTTGCAGAGAAGATTCTACTCGATAAATCTGGTTTTCAATAGCGGTAACAAACTGTTTATGCCTAGTTAACATAGTGTCATCTCGACAATTTCCATGGCTCAACCTCACTGCCCTCTCAAACTCTTCCAACTGATTCAAGTCACAACAATATATAACCAAAATAACTAAGCTTGAAAGAAATTTTACAAACAACACACAAAGAAAAAATTTCATACCTGCCATTTAGCAGTGCTCAAAGCAGCTTGGAGTTCTTTGCAGAGCTCGTCTGATTCAACGGTTACTCGACCGTCTCTCTTCTGTTTAAACCACAACCTATACGCAGATTCCATTCTGCAAATACAACACAGACAAGGAACAAAATTTCAAATTTGATATCTCAATTCCTTAACAAATGTTCTCACTTTTTACACAAAGGTTCTCACTTATACCAATCTAGAGCTAAACCAATCCCAACAAACTCGAATTACTCTAATAAACCCTATTTCTCCATTAAAAAAATCCGATTTCAACACCACAAGCTACACGAAACAAAACAGAGAATCAAAAACATACATATCAGCAGATTCTTGAACCTCCTCTGCTGCAGAGAAAAAAACATCTTTTTGCCATAGATCGAAGCTATTAGCTACCATCATCTTCGAGACCACACCAAAACCCCTCAAATTAAGACTAAACGACAATCGACAAAAATCCAAATCAACCCAAAAAAATCGTCGGAATAGATTCTCTCTCCGATTAAAATCCAAATTAGATTCTGCTTCCTTCTCTGCTCTTCTCTTCTTCCTTTTTTGCTTCAGAAGGAAAGAAGGAATTTTTATTTTTCTTCCAGCTTTCCGTTTTTATTTTTATTTTATTAAATTTCTTGCTTCTTCACTTTGAACGTTAATGGAAGATTAATAAAGAGGCCTGCACTAAATTGACCTGTGGTCACACGTGGCTTATTTTAATTGGGTGATAACGTAAAGTACTATGGTCTTAGCCGCAGGAGATTACTGCTGGGCCAAGAAAACATCAAGAATGTCCGTGTTGTTGTTGGGCCTACCGGTTTGCCGCAACATCAATTGTTCGCCAACGCATTTATATTATTAGTATTTATTTTCTTTTTATTTTTGTAGTAGATTATTTGTTTTAATTATTTTAAACAAGTCAAATGGTGATGACTCCTCTTTTTTTTTTCTATTTCACAAATAAACAAACTTAACTGTAATTTAATTGATTAAAAATGGAGAGTAGGAGACATTAGGGTGGCATGTGTAACGCATGGGATATCAAAATTTTAACTAACATAATTGAAATTCATAAAATAAAAACCTTAATTTTTTTTTTTCAGTTTTTATTTAGTTACCAAGACAGGTTCTTGTTCTGATTTAGACATTAACCGGTGGTTCATCAAGGTGAATGTGGTGGATTCCAGAGATTGGGCCATAATATAGACACTGTTTTCTGATGCCACTCTCTTTGGATTGGGCTTCATTACTACAATATGTATGTCAAAAGTCAAAATCTTTCAGCGGTCAAGATTTATAAGGAAAAGAACTGATGGATTTTTCAGGTCACTTCTAGCTTGAAGTAGAAGTGTCTGATGTGATGATTCTTTAGTGTCACTTCTAGAGTAAATTGGTTTCTTGAACAAAATTCTGAAATCTACAGGTTTGACATAACATGTATAAAGGGTGTGACACTAACCAAGTTACAACATTCAAACATCAATTCTTTATTTATCTCTTCTACCAAAAACCATTTTGGTTTTAGCTTGCATTTAGAGTCCATCGACCAATCAAACGTAACCGACACGAAAATTGGAGACAACAAAGTGGTAGGCCTTTTTAATGAGTCCAATTACTGCAGCATCAGTGTATACATAATCCAGTTTTGTTATGTTAATACTACAAAACAAAACGGATAACGTTAATCCTACATAATGTTATCCTACAAAACGGATAACGTTAATACTACATAATCCATATAGTAATCCTACAAAACGAATAACGTTAATACTACATAATCCAGTGTATACATAATGTTAATCCTAACTGCTTATAGTTTTGACTTGAGTACACCAAAATGGATAACGTTATACCATATTGTAACTAATCATATATTATAATAATTTGGACTAATTAAACAAAACGGATAATTAAAAACACACAAGAACCATTAGATGATGATCCTACATTCATTTTTCCTTGTCATCTTCTTCTTCGTCTTCTTCATCTTGAAACCCAAAAACCTCTCTGTTTCGATTAGGACTATCCAAAGCTCTCTTCTCTTGTTCTTCCTCTGCTTCTTCTTCTCCTTCTTCACCTTCCTCTTTCTTCTTCTTCAATCTAACACTCTTCCTTCTCTTCACAACTCTCTCCTTCAACACACTCACAAGCTCCCTCACCGCCTTCTCCGCATCACTCCTATTCCTAATCAACACTTCACTAACATCAGCCGGCGTAATCTCCGCCTCCTCCACACATTCCTCCATCTCCTTCAAAACAACACCGTCCATATCTTCTTCCTCAAGCCTCAGATAATTCTTCAACAAAATCTTCAAAGCCGGAAACTTACAAAAACCCATGTGAACATGCATATCCATCCTCCCACTTCTCAACAGAGCAGAATCTAACTTCTCTATATGATTTGTCGTGAACACAAAGATCTTCTCACTCCCACAACAAGACCAAAGCCCATCAGTGAAGTTCAATAGCCCCGAGAGAGTCACTGAACTTCCCGGTTCCTCCAAACCCGACCCGTTTGTCAAACCCGGGTCATACTCATAGCTCCCATTCTTCTTCTTGTTCTTTCCTCGTTTCGTCAAACTGATCGAACAATCAATGTCCTCGATGACAATAATCGACTTAGAGCTAGTCTTCATCAACAGCTTCCTCAATTCAGAGTTGTTCTGAACCTCAGTGAGCTCAAGATCGTAAATATCGTAACCAAGATAATTCGCCATTGCAGCTATCAAACTCGACTTGCCAGTTCCAGGTGGTCCATACAACAAGTAACCTCGTTTCCAAGCTCTGCCCGTTTTCTGATAAAACCCTTGTCCATTCGCAAACTCTCTTAGATCCTCCATGATTCGCTTTTTCTTCTCAGGTTCCATAGCCAGAGTATCAAACGTACTCGGATGCTTGAACCTAACCGAATCCCATGGATGGCTTCTCGCATCGAGCGAAACACCTCTTGAGTTCGTGTAAAGAAGTCTCTCCTCGTTTCTCCGACGAATCTCTTCTGATTTTCCGACAATGTAATCGAGGTAAGAATCTAGGACAAGGGCTTTGTCTCTTTTGTTGATCTGTAACGTAAACCCTCGTTTCTCTTCCGGCATTGGTCTCCACGAAAAGCTCTGAACTTGACGTTGAACAACGACGTGTTCCCAGAGGACAGTGACGCCGTTAAATACGTCGGTGATTCTGTCGTTGTTGGAGAGGCCGAAAGTAACGGAGCTTGAGTTAGGTACACGTGTCAAGCTGAGTCGTGTGTTGTTGTTGCTGCTAGAAACGGCGCTGTTGACGGTGACGGAAGAGCTGAGGTAAAGTTGAACGGCGTTGTAGAGCTCGTTGGTGTTGACGCCGTCAATCTCCGTTATGTCGAAGTAGATATGAGAAGAGAACACGTGGCGGAGGCGTGTCAAGAAGTGGAGGAAAGCTAGTCGGAGCTCCGGCGGAAACACGAGTTGGAGGATTGTTTGACAAAAGGCTAACATGCCAACTAGAGAAGCCATCGTTGTCCAATAATCACTCATTTTCATTTTCTTTCTCTGTTTTGTTTAGTGGAAAAAAAAAAGATTGGTTTCTAAAAAGTAAATTAGAAAAATTGAGAAGTGGGTTTGTGGTTAAATGAGGAGAGAAAGAGTGGGTTTAGCTAAATTGTGAAAATAAGAGTATATTTTTTTCTAAAAAAAAAGAGTATATTTTTTGAAGTTATTGTTCTTGAGATTTGGGAGGGAAAATCTTTGGTTGAGGCTTTTGAGAGAGTGACGTTGGTGGAATTTATTGAATTAATGAAATAAGGGCTCACCTCAATTTATAAGCAAAATTGGAGGAGTCGAGGAGATATTTTACTTTTCTATTTTACAAAAGAAATTGTATTGATATTTGCGGATAATACCAATTATTTTGTTGTGTGATATGGTACAAAACTACAAATTATATGAGCAACTATTAGGTTACTCAATTATTTCATAGGTCTATGGTTTCTAGGCTACAAAAATCAATTACAAGTTATCGATTGAATGGGACTGCCGAGAGGTAATGGTTATGTGACATGTAAATCTCACATCGGATACTATTCGACTTTTTCTTTTGTCCAACAATGTGATAAAGATGAAAATATGAAATAAATTTTTAAATTTTTTGAGCAAAAGGTTGAAACTTGAATGGTGAAGAATGATAAAAAGAGAATATAAAGGACAGTACCAAAGAAATGGATAGGTTTTTACTTTTACGCTAAATGAATCGGACAAACAAGTACAATGAGAAAAACACCACAAACGACAAGAAATAGTTAAAAATTAAAAATTAAATACCAAAAGAGGGTTAGTTTTTACGAGACAGCGAAGAACAGATCATTTAGCTGGATTGGTTCAATGTAGTAAGTGGTTTTGTTTTATTGATTGGTTCTACTTCTAGTGTTCAAAGGGTGCTCTAAAAATGACTTTTGTGTCTACTTGTGGTTTCTCTTGGTCAGTACTCAGTACTGAAAACTTGATCACTAAAACGAGTTTTTGCAAGTACCATTTCTTAATATGAAAATACTAGCATCAAATTAATTTCATCTTTTCCATAGATCTTAAGCAAATTACAAACGTCAAAAACAATTTTGTTTCGTATTTGATTTTACAATTTACGATTAATATTTGATTTTAAAAAAATATTTTAAACCCCAATAGTATTTTAATTCTAAACGCAAAATTTTACATTTAACATACTAGCAAAAACCCTAACCTCAGCTCAAAGTATAATACTAAACATAATGATCTCTAGGTAATGATGCAAATTTTAAATTATGGTCCGGTCATCCACGGTATTATTGGCACTCACTCATATAGAATTTAGAAGAATGTTTTGTCATATTTAAGATTACTGCAAAGGATAATGATCTTTGTAAATTTGTAATGTACTCCTTCTGTTTCTTGAAGTTTGATGTTCTAATGTTTTGAGTTTGTTCTACAAAGATTGATTTTCTATATTTTTTTAATTAATTGATTTTAATAAATCGTAGATTTCAAGACGTAATGATTAATTGTTTCAGATTACTATTGGTTCATAGTTTATTAAAAAATATTTAATAATAGTAAATAATTAAACAATGATTGTTTTTTAAAAAATGTGAAATCTCTAGAAAATCAATCTTCTAAGAACTGACGGAGTTGTAGTTTCTTTAGAAAATTGATAAGTAAACTAGTAAAAGCAAAAGGTAGCATGAGGGTCTAGTTTAGGGTTTGTGAATGTGACTTACAGTTGGGTTTGTGTTGTTTTGTTGGGACTTTGTGATTTTATTCTTTGACGACACTCGAATTTAAGTGGGAGTGTGGGACACCATTGTTTGTCTACATTTGCATATCAACATCTATCACCATAATACTCAAAACTCTCTAAGCTTTCTTTCACATCTCCATCTAATTCCAACATTAATAACCTCATCACAAACCCCAAATTAGTTCAAAACACTTTTAAAGATAATAATATATCCGTTGAACTCCGAGACTAATTGGGATAAAGATTGAATTGCTTTCATATAACATTTCTTTTTGAAAATTGATAGATGGTAATAAAAAGACCTTGAACTGTAGAAACTATCTAGTTGCAAGCTGAAACTTGCTCATCTAAGATGAGCCTTATAGACTTAATTTCGATCTAACTAGTCTCAAATTCTTAATCATATATATTATCAAGGTTGAGCAAAATCATCTCCTATATGTTGTCAATCGTATTATGAGAATGGAAAACAAATAATTGATGTTTCATTTTGCCGACAGAATAAATAAATATTTGACGTTTTTCAGATGTTTTAAATAGGGGGAAATTGGTGAGATATGTAAAAGGAGATGACACACAATGACAATGACAGTAGATAAGGCCCAAGTTACTAGAGTCACTTTTGCAGAACTGTGGAATCTCCCAACACCCAGAACCTTTAATGTATCATTTGTCTACTTAATTAAAAAGAACTTTTCGAAGTTACTGTGAAAAATGTGTAGAACAAACTTAAGTTATGATAGGTTGAATTAACTCAAATTGGTTCATATTGATCCACAGAACCAATTATAATGTTTTGAAATTCATTTCCATGCCTAATAGGATATAGTCTAACAAGAACTTCTAAAATGAAAAATTTGAAAATTATGTACGAATAGAAAACAATTAGGTATCTAAAAAACCATTGGTTGATAACTTGATATTGTGGGGGAAAATTTTGGACCAAAGATTCTGTGCAGAGATCCGTTGATGATTCTGGTCTTGGAGTTTTGTATCCTCTGGTTCCGAGCTAAACCCAAAAGAGCCAACAATAAATAACCAATATTAAATGTCAAAAGTTGTAAGGCTATATTATTATGTTATTTTACAAAAGCCTCCTCAAGTACACAATTGGCATTTTATAGTATTAGGGTTTGTAATGATGGTACCTTCTGAAACTGACTCTCTTTGGCATTTTCTATTTCAGTTTTCAAAAAATAAAAAAGAATCATTCACTTCACTATTAACAAGACAATCTATTCTCTTCTTCTTCTTTTGTTTTGTTATGTTATTCATTCAAAATTGATGAAAATGATGATCCTTGGCCTTTGACGTAACTTTCTTTTGGGTATTATAAGGAAATTATTTATTATTACAATTGGTGTGTTTGAGAGAATAGTCACATTTCACCTGAAGTGGTAAAAATAAACTAAAAAGAGTAATAATGAGATGACGTAGTACACAAGCAAGCTCTGTCTTCTTCTTACATTATCACTTCGAGAGCCACACCCCACTCTCTGCCACACTCGTCCCCCAAAAATTACTTACTTACTACTACCAAACAAAATTTAACAACTTGAAAAGACAAAAGTTATTAAATAATTGAGGGTTGTGTGATACAGAAGCTATAATCTCTAAAATTAAATGCAACAGAAGAGAATAAGATTTCGTCCAGATTTTAATTCGTTCCTTAGTTTAATTAGCAATCACATAAAAAAATTGGATTTTTTTTTATTCATTGAAATTTTATTTACTTGGTTTTAGCTTAATTTTCTTCGAAACTTGAAAACAAATCCACGAAACAAAAGAAACAAATCCCACAGATTGACTTTGTAAACACCCAAATTCGAATCTCCTTTTTGTAAGATTTGATCTTCTTTTTGTTAAAGGTTTATTTGGTAGATTCTTTTGGCTTGAGCTTCTCGATATTGATATTTTTGGTCATTAGTATATATTGCATGACCAAATTAAAACAACAATTACAAAAAAAAAAAAACTCGGATTAGACTTTTAGTTGGATAATAATGGAAATGCTTATTGTATATATTTTTCACATAAACTAATTGATTGGTAAAAATCCCTATAATGATAAGATTATAGTATGTAATGGCTATTTCTGCAAATTTCGCTATAAATTACTCAAGAGTAGCGTTATTGTGTGTTGGTAATGCAAATACAAGAACAAATAATACATAGAAGAAAACCAAAAAAAATACTTAAGTACTGGACAAATTAAAGCTACGATCATCAAGGTTTTAATATTATATACTGTATACGTTTCCAAAAAGAACCGTAAGTTTCATACACATAAAGCAAAACCATAGAGTAAAGTCGACCAGAGTTTAACAAAAAAGCGTCGAAGAACATATTATACATATGATCTTTAGAACTCAGAATAGTTCACGGCTGGAGAATTCTCTATCTACTCTGTACCAAATGATTTCCCAAACTGAATCAGAGAAACTATCTCTGATTTCCCATTTTTCCAGATAGAATCAATCAATGGCAATGATCAAGAAGCCAACAGAGACATACATGAGGAAAACAGGGTAAAGTGCTAGAGCTTTTCTTCTCGGGTTCACTGCAGCACTCATGAAAGGATAAGCAGCCCAAGAGCTCCAGGCAAGAGTCACAGACACAACGATCATTTTGAGTATCACATTGTCCTTCAACATGCAGATCACTGCTCCAACGTCCAGTGGAAATAGACAGTAACCTAGAAGGCTTAGGCTTTGGAAAAATATTATATGTCCTCCCTGAAATTTGCATTTTCACGACAAAACAAAACAAATGGGATGTTTAAATCAAAACTTGTAACACAAAAGTGTAAAGTATGTGGCTTGTAACCAATACATGAATCAAATGTGTGCTTACCAGAAGCAGCACATTTAGTGTGAGGATAACTGCCCCAGCTGCAAGTAGTGCAAATGCCACGGCAAATACTTCAGACTGGAAATCACAGAGAAAACGAATGAGAGACCAAAGGGTAATTGGTAATAGCCAAATTATTCTAGCAGATATGTAAGAATCTAGTGCCTTTTTACTTCAGGGATTCAAAACCTAGATAACTCGGGTTATATATGCTGGGAAAAGCAGGTTTTAGTTGGAAATAAAAACAAGGATGTAAGGTATTCCATAACAATATGTTTCAACGACGTCAAAACAGAACACACAACAGAACCACTTCGTTCCTTATCAGATACATGATCTATACTTCAAGTGCATTCCAACACAGCAAAACGGAAAGGTCTCATTTTGCCCTTTGATATTCACAGTTTCCTATTAAACATGTTGGCAAATCCTAATATATAAATCAAAAGACCAACCAGTCATGCCATCATCCATTACGGTTAGAAAAGCTGTGGCTACATCAGTTCAAGATGAAAGTGTCTAATATCATAAATTGTCTATCAGATCTTACACATCAAATGCTCTATATGTAACACAAGGAGGAATGAATAGAAAGAAAGCACCAAATGAGTTAATTGTTGCTCATCGAATCAACTCTACAAGTCAAAATCCGACTTCTGTGGAAGTAGTAACAATGGCTGCCTAAGGCTAAGAATCAAATTAAGAGCAATGCTACTAGAACCAACATTCTAGAGGAACTCTCAATCTAGCCAATATGTCACCAATGAGTGTACATCTAAAAACATCATTCCGAGTACATGGACATTCCGAAGATAAGGAATACTCGAATCACATTTTAATAGAACTAGCTAAAGCTAAGATTCCAAGTTCATAAATTGATCACACAATCGCATAGCCAATGTACAGAGTCCTGCATCCATAAAGGTTCCAACTTCCAATGAACAAAGCTGAAATGAAGATCTTACCTTCTTAACAGAAGCAGACCACGAAAGAGTAAGCCCCAAGAACACAATGAAGAAAAACGGTCCCCATAGATCCCAATCCCTAAGTGCTTTCCCAGGATCTTCCCTATACGGATTCGGAAACACCACAAGCTTCAAATTACTCACGATCCGTGACAGATCGCGCTTCACAGTATCCCATACAGGCTCCGTCAATGTATTTGGCGGAGATCCGAATCCACTCCCTCCAATACTCTTGTTACCTTCGGAGCTGTTGGAGTTACCTACCGACGGAAGCGGCGGGGGAGCTGGAACAGGCATCACCTTCTGAGAGGAAGAAGACGACGGTGGTAGCGGTGGAAGATTAGATTGAACGAACGGTGAGGATGAAACGGGAATTGACGGACGGATCGGACTCGGTGGTCGAGCAGGAAGGACGGTTCCAGGACCTGATTGGAAACTATCGTTCATCATATTCTCAATCTCGTCGATGTCTGATTGAGATGATTGATAAAGCGGAATCGTATCGTTGTGCGACATTTTTCTTCACCGGAGAGAAATTGGAGATTCCGGTGACGGTTTGTTGATTTTTCCCGGGAAACGATTTAGGTCAAAAGCTTTGATTTGGGCGAAATTAGATTCAGATCTGATGAAGAAGAAAGTCGAAATTACTAAAAAGAGAGAGAAAAAATAATATTGAAATAAACGTGTGAGCTAGTGTTCTTACCTTAAACGACACCGTCGAATTTCAACGACGTCGTTTGATATTATGTAAGTTTCTGATACACTCTTTAATTAATAAAATTTGATATTTTGACCTTTTTCAATAATTGGATTTAAATAATATGCATTTAACACGTTTCTCATATTTCTTACTACAATGTAAGTAAATTAATTATTTAATTACAAAAAAAAAAGCAAATTAAACTATCATTTTTTGTATGGAAAAAAAAGAAGAAGAAAGAACTATCATTATCATAAACATATTTTTTTTTTACAAATAAAACTGGGACATCTTTTTATACATATCTATAAGAGTAAAGACACATCGTTTCCTTTATTAGACAAAGATATACAATGAAAAGAATCAAAAACCATATTAAGAAAAAGAAATTCTCAGACATAATAGACAAGCAAGAAACAGAGCATTCACAAATTTCACATAGAAGAAAGAGAGGAAGGTAGATAAATAAATAAAGATTCTATGAGCTTGTTGTGCATTCCTTAGGGGCTCCCTGTGGAAACCTCTTATGGTCAGTACAATAATTGTAGATCATGTAATTCTTCTGAACCCATCTGAGTCTAGCTTGGCTTGTTGAATCCATTTCTTGAGTGTACCAGTTGGAGTTTGGTTTCGAGTCGATCTTAATGTTTCTGTAAGAAGCCATGAATGGAGCTTTAGACCAATCCGTTTTAACAAGACCGCCTCTAGTTGCCCAATCGTCTGCGTTCCATAAACTTGCGTACATCCTCATCGGCTTGTTCTTTGGAAACAAGACACCGATAGACTCATGGTTTTTAAACTCTCTAATCGGTGTGTCATCGACGGTCAATCTGATAATAAAAATAGAAAACCTAATTAGGGTTTGTTTACTTGTATAGCAAGAAAGGTGATATTTTGGACTTTACATGATTCTTTGAGGGTTCCAGAGGATTGAGTAAGTGTGGAAATTTGCGGTTGGGTCGAACCAGAGATAGAATTGTTGCTCTTTATCACCTTTGCCTTGAGTGTAAACATTAGTGTGTAAAGTATAAGGATCTCCACTCATATTACCCAAGAACTCAAAATCAATCTCATCCCAAGTCGATCCTTCAGATTTTAGCTGCAAATACACATAAATATTATGTTAAACTCTTTCAAAACCAAATCCAAAATCACTTAAAACTCCTAGAGAAAGTGAAACTTACGTAAAAAGTTGTGACTGTTCCTGCTGAGTTACCAGGAACAAGCTTAATCTGCATATCAATCTTTCCAAACAAATACTCTGTTTTGGACTGAAAACCAGAACCAGAGGATTTGTCTAAAGAAAGAGTAAGAAGCTGGCCGTTGTTGAGTATCTTACCACGGCCATTTCCCCAAGCTACGTTGACGTCAGTATTGAAATCAGCGGCGGAGAACGAAAACGCCGCCACGAGAAGAGCCGTGAAGAAGAATATTTTGAAAGGAGACATTGTCTTTGAGTGTGCGCGTACGTGTGGGTGTGTTTTGAGGGGGTTTGGTGAGGAATGTGAGGAAGAGAGAAGAAGGGAGAGAGGTATATATAGTGGAAGAGAATTAACATAAATAAATGAGAAGAAGAAGAGAAGAGAGTGGGTGAACAAAAGGAGGCTAATATCAAGACATTGCATGCAAGATGTATTACAGCTGGAGTCTTGAGTATCTCCATCATTTGGTAAGCAGATTATATTTACTATCCTTAATTTTTTATTAATGTTATACTTAGTAAATATAAACATGAGCATATTATTTGTTAGAAATATGTTGTTTTGGCTCTTTTAAATCCGAATTTTATTTTTTATTTGGGGATGAAATTCCGCATTTTATGATTTTTAATAGGCCTGTGCAAAAAAACCGGACCCGATACCCGAACCGATACTCGGACCGAAAAAACCGGGTAGGGACGGGTTAGGGTATTAGGAAATTACCTCATTAGAGTTTTGGTCTACCTGTGGGTATCGGTTTGGGTCGGGGAATACCCGTTACCCATTTAGGGTACCCATAAACCCAAAGCTTTTAGACATGTGTTTATATATGTATATAGATATATAGTTATATAGTCATATAGCCCTAGCTTTTGAGTTTTGACGATTGAGTTTCCTAATTTCCTTCTAGAATACGTATTCCCTCGATAATCTCTGCTTAAAATCCCCTTTTGAGTCTCATTATCGAAACTAGAAACCCTCGTCGCGACACTCTCGGCGACCTTACCGTCACCGAACATTCCGATGTCATGTGATTTTGGATTGGATTTACTCTTAACACTTAAGACTTAAGTAGTCATCTTTGTGATTTTGGATTGGATTTAGTCTTTAGATGTCATGTTTGATGTTTTGTTCTCTTTATTTGATCATTTGAGCATGTACAATGATTTAAAACTTCGGGTATTGGAGTCATATTTCGGGTTTATAGGTAATTTACCCATTTAGACCCGAACCCAATGAAGACCCAAATTTTTCGAGTTTTTTTCGGTTCTCATGCTTATTACCCAAACCGACCCAATCCGACGATACCCGAACCGGACCGGAACCAAATCTTTAGAAATACCCGAATGGGCCATAAATTCATTACCCATTCAACCCGAACCCGAACGGGTTTTATCCGAACCCGAACGGGTTACCCATATACCCATGCCTAATTTTTATCATAAGAAAAGTAAAATGATTGTTTGGAAGATACTGATGACCGACTAAAATATCAAAATTGATGCAGACCAAAAAAAATTGACGTAAACAAAGAAATCTCTATAATTATATATACACAGTGTTTGAGCAAATACTATATATATATATATATATAATTAAGACTCTTATATTAGTAAATGCTATATAGTATTTTTCTTGGTGTGTTTGGATTTAATATTGACAAAAATTAATACTAATATGGTTTGGTATATAATTGGTTGCATGCTTTCTTATTTTTTAATTTTTTTACACGAATCTCGAAATTTCAAATGTTTTCATACAGCTTAGATCACTACGGCGAGGCCTATAGGGAGGGAGAGAAGAAATAAGTGGTCTAGAGGTATATTACGTGTGGAATTGTTCGACTTCAAATTCTCGAATTTAGTTGAAATTTGAAGAGAATATGTCTTGTAAATATCTTTTTTTTTTCATGAATTTTTTTGATAACTTTTCAAGTTTGTATCCTATTATTGGGTCGTAGCTGGACCATGGTTTTGGAATAACAACAACTTGCTTTGACTCACGTCGAGCTTTTCTTTGGACATTTTAACATATTTTTAAGCTTAAATTTTGTTTGGCAATATTATCATGAATCTATGATGTGATTAAAATAATATTGTACTCCATATTGTTATGTGAATTGAGATAAGAAGCAACGAAGAAAAGTATGAGTTTAGTGTATGGGTTAAAAGATTTGATTGCGTTAGCAAAGTTGCAAGCAAGTACCACCATACACACGCTTTCTTTCTCTTTCTTCTAAATCAAAAGGTCAATTTCTTTTGGTTGGTCACTAATTAATGATGGGAGTGTCAATTAAGATGTTTCATTGCAAAATACAAAACTATAATCAATATGTGCAAGTGTGCAACCATACCTGTAGGTCTACATTATTTGTTTTCTTTCTAATCCTACTAAATGATAGTATAATTATTGATGTAAACTTTTGTATAAGAAAGAATATGAACCAAAGTAAAGCTGATTTTTTTTTTTTTTTTTGTGTGCAAAGTAAAGCTGAATTATACACGTAATACTTGTATGTTTTTCAAAAAAATAGAACGACTGAGACATACATGTAGATATACTGTTTAATCTTAAAAACCAATAAGGTAAAATAATTCATTTTCTAGAAATTTCTACTATTGATACTATATTGTATGCATGCACGCAGTAGTGGTTGTGATTAGAGTGGTTTTCATTTGTTGATCAAATTCAGAAATTTAATTTGATTGGTATACACATTTGACAAATTAAAACAGCTGTCCAGAGTACTTAAGCTAGAATTTAATCTGAGGAAAACACAAATAAAAGAAATTTAATGTTTGTCTATGAGGACAACTACTGATATTTATTGGAAATGAGTAAATGACTAATGAATATGAGTGGTCCAAACTCAAAGGTATTTTTTTCAAGCACCAAAGCTATTTTCATCCCCTTTGTTCATATAAAGGAACAAGCAATGTTTGATATTTCCAATTTTTTGCTATTTTTGTCTCCTGTTTTCATGCCAATCAAAAAGTTGTAATAACAAATAAATGGTCTAAATTTTTTCAAAAAATCAACTGAGTTTTCACATCATTGCCAAACAATATCATAAAACTACAGAATATCGACAAATGTAATCTTTCCATACTAACACGTTTGAGTAACTTAGTTAAAGCTAGTTCGATGAGAGTACTATATATAAGAATGATAAAATTATTGAATTTTTTTAAAAAATCGGTAGCACAAATGATAAACCATTACATAGAATGTCAGACTAATCACATAAAAGAACTACCCTTTGTAGTAGAGAGCATGAATCAGCTCATGAACTCCACTAATATAATGACATCATTCTTCTAACTTAAGTTAATTTTATTTTTACACTGACATAACTTGAGGTAAGTACAAAAGATAGTTTGGGTTTAAATAGTATATAGTGTTTGAGTTTTGAGTAAGTAATAGTAGTATGGAGTATGGACCATGAGATGGGATAAGCTACGTAATTAAAGCAAACACTATTACTAGAAGTCATATCATATGAATATGATTCATTGGCTGAAATTTCTTGACACGGAAATTTGGATTTGGACCGCCTAACCAAACGTCAACCTGGTCCCACTACTTTACAGCTGTATCATTTAGAAATTAATTTTATTAGTGTAATGGCTCATCAACAATACTTAATCAAAGGCCTAATCTCAATATTAACTCAAAACAATATAGTATTTCATTTTAACGAACCCATATCTCACAACTAAGTCTGGTCTTGTCAATTCCGGGATTAATAAATGTTATTGGATTATCTTTATTTTTCAAGCTATAGTGCTTATTGAATTCATGTAATTCAAATTTTCAGAGTAACCATATCTTTTGGCCTGATTTTTTAAAGTACGTTATCACCAATTCAAATTTCAATACTAAACCATCAATTGAAGGTTTAAAATAGGCCAGTGGT